AAAAGGGGAAAAAAAAAAAAAAAAAAAAAAAAATTAGTGAGTGGGCAAACAAGTTTTGACACCACCATCTTTGCCGATTTTTCATGTTTTGTTGGCTAAACAGAATGCCTTCAAAGTTAAGAGGGAGATACCTTAGATCACAAAGAGCGCACAAAAAAAACTTCAGAGAAAACTAATAATACTTAGGTGCTAAAATTTGTTTTTTGCGGGGTCCAAACCCCTTCAGGTTCGGGGCCCGTACGGGGATCCGAACGCCCGAACATTCAGGGGTCAGCCTAAGGGCCTCCGTACGTTCGCCTTGGCAACCCTGAGAATTGTTGTGTTGGTGGGTGTTAAGTGTGGTTTTTATCGAGTTAGGGACGAAAGTTTTATCGGGGTGGGGTGAAAATCATGAATGGTACGGTTCAACTCTTAAACATCGCATTCTGATTATAGTATTTAAGAGACTAGACTCTTGGGGCTTTGGTCGCCGTTTCAAATTTATGTGTGCACTGAGGAGGGCTTAGGCTTAGATATATGGATCTATAAACGGTTAATTGTATTGTTAATTAACTATTTATTTAGATAGTATAATTTTAATTATTTAAATATTAATAATTAATTTATCGATTAATCAACTCATTAACTTATTTGACTTATTGAGTAATGGTCACTTGACTATATGGTTTGTAATAAACAATTGAAGAGTAGCTGAATTTCGTTACTGATTTCGAAATCAATTTGTTGTTCAATTAACCCACCATTTCATTAATCCATAAAATTATTTATTGACAGGTTGCCTGATTTATGAGTTAACTCGATGATAGGTAGACTAATTCGTTGATTATTCATAAAAACTTAACAAAAAATAATGTGATCATAAAACTTGACAAAAAAATTAAAATTTGTATTTTTTTTTTCCCTTAGTGTGTTATGTATTGTGAGCATATATATTTGCTGTCATTACAAAAACATTAATTTTTCATAATTAAGATATCTCGTCATTTTATAGTCTACCAGAGTGATCCGGGTCCACTTGCCCAACCAGATCAAAAACATATTAAAAAATATATATATATATATTATTTTTTATTTTATTTATTTATTTTTTGTTGGGACCTTCCCTAATCCTTGCACGGTCGGGCCGCCCACAAAAATAGGGTGACCTGGGTCGTCCGCCTGGTAGCCTAGGTCATTTTATAATATTTAGAAATTTATTTTTCCTTACACATTCCTTTGTGGTTATTTTAACTAAATCAATTTTATTTTATTTTATTGAAAGGGAAATAAAACATATCATTAAGAATGTTGTGTTATTATTTTTGTTTTCAATATCATAATAAACGAAAAACTATATTTTACTCCTCAACTATTTATTCCCCCCATACATGCACAATAAGTGTATCTGACTTCACTTGATAATTTACTATAGTAAAAACACTATGTTTGCGATGACCCAGTAATAGAAATGATCAAACTCAAATGATGTCACTTCAACTAAGGAACAAATGACACATTGTTTATAGCACAATAAGTTACTACGTAATTGCGTGTATAATCAATCAAGTAATCAATTGCATAATTAATTGTAATTGGTTGCGTAATTTATTGCGCTCCATGTGCATTTTCATTTCCCAACATGAAGTACACTTGAATACAGGAAATCCTACCTAGATATGGGTCGAAAAACGAACATGGAAATTAAAAAATTGGTAAAGTAGAGAAGGCAAGGTTATACCAAGACCAGAAAAAAAAACAATCCAATGAACAGTTGTTGGAGGCAGGACAAGACGAAAGAGAGAGGAGACGACAAGCAGTAAGACATAAAGAGGATGAAATAACGCCATGCAGACATACAAACAAACAATAAAACCACATTATCTATTACCTCGTTTGTTGTACAATTGACCATATACCTAGGCTATGAGTTGTTCGATGGTCGGTATTCATGGCTGTACATCCTGTGTAGAGTTGTTTGGGATCCCGGACAACTCATTTTTTCCAAATCTACAACGCAAAAAAAAAGAAAAAAAACAGTGGGGGGTTTGCACCACTAGGGGATCCCCTAAAATAATTTTAGGTCATTCGAGAGAAAAATATAAATAAAAGGAAAACGGTGATGGGGTCAGAAAATAGGGTGAAAGGTGGTGTGGAAGGTCAGTTGTTGCATGTGTCTACACACACATACACACACACACATACTATCTACACATACATACTATCTTCATATACCATACACACACACTATCTGCACACACACACACACACAACCACCATCGCCCTTTAGGTCATTATCTCTACTCCCGTCCCATTTTATTTTATTTTTTAATCAATCAATCAATCAATCAATTAAAATATGATCCAATTAATAGATTGGATTGAGTCTTGAAAATCCAATTCATAGATTGAATCGTAATTTTTAAGATTCAATCCAATGTACTGATTGGATCGGATTTTGATTGATTGATTAATTGAAAAAAAAAAAGGAAGGGAGTAGAGATGGCGACCTAGAGGAAGATGGCGAGAAGGGGATGTGGGGAGTTGGGTGGGTAGGGATGGCAACACGGCCGCATATGACAACGATAGGGATGAGGAGGAGAAGGAGGACGAGAAGATCGAGGAGGAGGACGAGGAGACAGTCAAGTTGAAAGGGGAGGCGGGCGACGACGACGAGAACGACGAGGAGGATGAAGAAGAAAAATACGAGGAGGAGGAGGATGAAAAAGAAGAGAAGGATCAAAAGGAGGATGTGGATGATGAGGGGGATGAGGAAGAAGAAGAATAATAGGGAGGGAGGAGGAGGAGGAGGAGAAGGAGGAGGGCGATGACGAAGAAGAAGAAGAGGAAACGGCGGCGGAGAAGGAAAGGGAACAGGAGCAGGCCATGGCGATGGACGCAAATCAGGACGCCGCGACAATGGAGGAGGAGGAGGACGACGATGACGATGAAGAGGAGAAGGAGGGGGAGGAGGAGGAGGAGGAGGAGGAGGAGGACGACGACGACGACGACGAAGAGGAGGAGGAGGATGGGGGGAAGAAGGTGGAGGAGAAAGAGGAGGAGGAGGAAGAAGAACTTGAAAAGGAGGAGGAAGAGGAGGACGAGGACGAGGAGGAGGAAAAAGAAGAGCAGGAAAAGGAGGAGGAGGAGAAGGAGGATGCCGAAAAAAGACGAAGAGGAGGAGGAGGACGAAGAAAAAGCGAAGGATGAAGAGGAGGAGGAGGAGGAGAAGGAGGAGGAAAGGGAGCAGATACAGGGGACTATGGCGATAAAGGCAAATTGGAACGCCGAGGTGATGGAGGAGGAGGAGGAAGAAAAGGAGGAGAAGAAGGAGGAGGAGGAGGGGGAGATGGAGGATGAGGAGTACAAAGAAGAGGAGGACGAGGACGCCGAGGACGAGGACGGCGAAGAATAAGAAGAGGAGGTGGAGGAGGACGGTGACGAAGAAGAGGAGGACAACGGCGATGAACACCGACAATGAGGAGGAGGTAGAGGACGAGGAGGAGGAAGAAGATGAGGAGAAGAAAGAGGAGTATGAGGAGGGGGGGCAAAAGGAAGTGGACTGGAGGAGGAGGAGGAAGAGATGGAGGGAAAAGAGGAGGAGGAGGAGGACGAGGAGGGAAAGGAGGAGAAGGAGAGAGATGAGAGAGATATGGAGGAGGAGGAAGGAAGAGGGTACACACCTACAAGGGGGTTGGAACATATGTTGGGTTGTGGTTGTTGGCACGTGATCTGGCAATGTCTAACTCCTACGACATGCTCAAGTCGTGCATGGGCAGACGACGGTCGACGTGCAATTCGAATTCAACTTTGACCCGATTTTGGTTGTAGGTCTTTTAGATCTCACAGCCAAGACTGGGCCATTTTCGTAGGCCCTACCGGCCTCACGAAAATCGCCCAACATTCCTAGGGGTACTACATACCCCAAACCTCACCCCCACAAACCCAAAACCCCGATTGGACTCCTTCCCCGATTTTTAAACCAACTAGGACACTGGTCCCTGTTCGGATGACCGGGGGAGTTGTCCGATCGGACAACCGAAAACAAAAAAGGGTCCCAGACGTCCGGGCTGGTAACATAGTCATATAATGAATTATTTAATTGATCACATAATTGTCTTATTAAATCACTTAATCCATTATGTAATCGACCATGTAATGCATTATATAATTGACTATGTAATCACTTTTGTAATCGATCATGTACTTGGTTATGCAATGCGTCATTGTCCATGTGTGTGTTTGCTTGTCATGATTATTTGCATTTTGAAACTAGAGACCCTGTACAAGGGGGGAGAGAAAAGTGAACATAAAAAAAAAAAAAGTAGGTGCTCGAGAAAAATAAAGTTGATGTGGAGTATGAGAAAATGAGGGGAACATAGGAAAAATCGATGGAGGGAGGATAAGGTAGAGAAAGAGAAACGGAGGAGTAAGACGTTAAGTGAAGGATGAACCTTCATACAAAGGTCAGACAAATATACATACTTATAAGAAACGAACAAAATACAAACTCTTAGACAAATTGAAGGTACAAAATTAGAGGTTCAACGTCATAAATAAGAACGAAATCGGTCACCTAAATAATTACATGATTGATTACACAAGTTACATGATAGTTACATAAGTGAGACAAAGAACCCTAATTGCACCTCATTATTTTGTTATCATAATGGTGGCATGCCAACCTCAGACAATGTAAAGATATAAAGAAAATCGAGATAATCCCAAATTTTTCATTCTTTGCAGATGATCTATCACTCATGGTCGAAGCCTCGAATGGTAATTTAGTAGTCGTGCAGAGGATGATGGATAAATTTTGCAGAATATCACGAATGAGGGTCAATAGGGGTAGCAAGACTTTGGGTTGGTGGATTCACCATCAGCCAGAGCAACTAACAATAAAATGAGTTTCATTGAATACCCTGTTTGGGTTCTATGAGTATCACTATCTACAGAAGGAAGTATCTGCTAACAATGAATAGATCTCCCAACAGGCTCAGACAAAATTGAAATTATGAAAGGATAAGTGTCTTTATTTAAAGATATACTGATTTTATTATAGTCATTAACAATGTGATACTTGATTCCATATGGTATAAATCAGCAATATAGGCAATGAATAAAGTTGCACTCAAAGCACTTCTGAGACAAGTTGTGCTATTCCTATGGAGAGGAAATCATTTGAGTAGTAAAAATGTTCTTAATAGGGTACTTTGGCAATCAATGATCCAACCAAAGACCACATGGGGTTTGGGGATTATTGATATAACAATACAAGAAATGACTCTTTCTATTCAATGGATCAAAAAATTGTTTTTTAATCCTCAGATTCCCTAGAATGAGTTAGTATGTATAGACTCTCAAACTCCAGATAATATTAATCCAATGATAAAGCTGAAAAATAAATTATGGTAAATCTCTAGGAAGTCTTAAAAGGTAGTAGACCATCAAACAATTCAAAACCGCATTTCAACAAAAAATGATCTTGTTAAGGATCCATTTAAGCCTACCAAGTTAAGAACGTGGAGAAAGTTACCGATGTTTGACAAAGTAGTCCCAAGAAGATGAAAGAAAGTGTGTCAACAACCCCTCTTCAATAATGTTTAGAATAAAGACTCACAAGACTATGTTCTTCATTGCATGGATTCTCCATAAAAAGGATGGGTAAATTTTTTTTTTTTACGTATCAAGGATATATGGAATATGAAAACTAAGGAGTGAATCTCCCTTATAGTTTTTTATTATCTGCTACGATCATACAACCATAATCCGGTGGAAGCACTAGAGAGGATCATTGAAAAAATACGGCAACCCCTAAATTTGATAAAAATCATAAGAAAGAAACTCGAATTAGCACAGAGAGATTTGGTGACTATTGGAAACCAACGTAACCTGATAGGTAATATTTTACAAATTAATCATAATGACGAGGCTCTCATATTTTTATCCATGTTTGCTCAAGGTACACAATTATTCTCAACCCAACTGAAAAAGTTAGATAGGAAAACACATATTTTTTTACAACATAAAAATTCCCACGAGAAATGAAAGTTGAAAAAGCATTCCATAAAAAAAAAATCCTTCATATTTATAAATTATTATTCTAATATTCGTCAAATTCTAAAATTTCCAGTTTTATTTGATAAGTTTCCGTCTAAATATGACCGTTTCCTTCCAACTACATCTTTTTGTTCAAGATGGAATGAAAGTCTAGACGAGTTTATGAAATGTTTTAATTAAATTTTCATTCTACTACAAGAAATATCTTCTAATTTAGATTGGATTAACCTATTTATGACTGAAAATCCTTACTTAGAATGACAGTCCAATTAAAATATTTCATGAACTCGTCCACACTTTCATTCCATCTCTAGCATGCAGTTCAAATAAAAAGGGATACCCCATTCTTGGAAGGAAAGTTTTCAAGTAAGACGGAAAATTTTAAAATTGGAATGACGTTTTTTAAGATGGAATGAAAACTTAAAATTTAAAATGTAATTTCACTATAAAATTGATTATTTAATTCTAGAAATTTTTTCGTTGTAGGATGAGGGTACTAAAAAGCAACGACACAAGCCAGACACCCTCATTTCTCGCATGACACTAGACCCCATAAATTAGGTCTCGACCTCATAAAGGAAAGGGGTCGGGTTTATAAGCGAGCATTTCATACTTTGTCAGTTAAATCTACATACAAAATATTAAGACCACGCATCAACTTGAAAGAAAGGGTGATAACGTAAGCAAGGAAGTCATGAAGTCAATCAAATTGTTTCAAATCATGAAATTTAAACCATTCGAAGTGACTTCGCTTCAGTGCAATTGAACATCGTTGCCTTCTCACTTAGGATTGTTTGATAGATCGAACTAACGTGAAACAAAAACGAATGATACTCCCATTGCGTAAATTATGTTCTTTAGCTTTTCCAACCCTTGGGATTTAAAAAGAATTCTACTCAATTTTTGAACTCTATAACATACAAAATGTTAAGACCACGCATCAACTTGAAAGAAAGGGTGATAACGTAAGTAAGGAAGTCATGCAGTCAATCAAATTGTTTCAAATCATGAAATTTAAACCACTCGAAGTGACTTCGCTTCAGTACAATTGAACATCGTTGCCTTCTCACTTAGGATTGTTTGATAGATCGAACTAACGTGGAACAAAAACGAATGATACTCCCATTGCGTAAATTATGTTCTTTAGTTTTTCCAACCCTTGGGATTTAAAGAGAGTTCTGCTCAATTTTTGAACTCTATATCCTTATGAGGATTTCACTCACAATCTATTCATTTTTAGAGAAAAAACTGTGTTGTGGATCATATGGATGAGAAGATATACTTTTGAGATGGAAGGGGCAAGGGTCGTTGTTTCCTCTGAATTTTTACACTCGCACCATGTTGGCTCCAATTCCATCATATTACCAATCAACCACCTCGTTGTAGAAGTTGCCCTATGTGACTGAAGCCACATAAGGCTACTGTACTTAGCATAGGAGAATTTTTAGTAGGGTTGAACGCTTCTAAATTCATAGATTCAGTTAAACAACGAATTGAAATAGTAATCACGTCAAAATGAGACTTTACAAAATGAAAAAAATCAACACCTACATCATGATTCATATGATGAAATCATAAAACATATTCAAGAATTTAGCCACTGCAGGCTTGGGGAAAGTTGAAACAGGTCATATAGAAAGAGGTCGAGGGAGATAAAATTAAAAAATGTGTGCAGGAACTACTACTTTAAGTCTGGTGACTGAACTCCTGCTGATTCACATATTTCTTTAACATCCTTGTCGGAATTCCTTGAACCCTTTGCTCCACATGCAAGGAGTATAGTTTCAATATCATGGTTTCGACATAAGTGGATTCTAAGTATTTCGCCTCAGTGGCCAGAATCTTGATAAAGGAATCAAAGTTAATATGCAGAGGTTAAATTTGACGCTCATGTTTGGGTAAAGAGGCTTTGCATTCCTCTAGCCTAGAAGGAGATAGTCACTCTCAAACTAATAAAAACAAAGTTGGGTATGAACTTTGGTATTCTCAAAATCATGATTATCAAACACTTGTTGTAATCTTTAATGAGCTTATTATAAAGGACGTTGCGCTAGATTTCTAAGACATATTGCTTCCCAAGAATTAATTAGAGTCTTTCTGAAGAAAAAAAATAAATAAAAAAAAATCATTATAATTAACATTTATGGCTCAATAACGACGACTTTCGATGGTATGAGGAGGATGCTCAGGGCCAGCCAATACCAGTAGCTTGTTGGGGTGGGTTATG